CCCCGCGGGGACAGCGGGCTGCGGGTGTACATCGGGCTCGGCCTCTCCCACGCCCTGCTCCTCCGCCTTCCCGCAAAGGGTGCAACCTCCCGTGTGGCCTTTCACCCCCGTGTGGCCCTTGCAGTGGGGCGCGGAGACCTGGGCCTGTTTTTGACCCGAGGCCACCGCCCCCCCAAGGCCTGGATTAGGCTCCCTCCGGGGTCGGTGCAAGCACCTGCTCTGGACTCTTAAGAAACATTTGGACGTTTATCTTGCTGGGATCCTTTGCCCCTAGCTGACTTCCTGCCCTGGGGGCTGGACTCGATGATCCGCCGAGGTCCCTTCCAGCGCTAACGTCTATGAAATCTATTCGAGCGTGAAGCTCATGGTCCCGAGTGCTGCCGGAGCCGACGGCTTGGCCGGGTTCGAAAAGGGAGCGGATAAATCCTTGGAGGAAAGGAGCATCCGCCGCTATCGAGCAGGGGAGTGAGGGGCACGGCCTCGAAATTAAAACTCGCCGGGCACGTGCTGGAGGCTGCGAGTGAGGGACGGTGCAGGGGGGGGAAACCCTGTTCGGACCCAGTTCTCCCCGCCGTCGGCATCCGCTCTGATGGTCTGACGCAATCCGTGGCAGTTCTTACTTTCTTAATTCCCTTTTCTTTTTTAAACTTAGAGAAAAATCACAAACACTTTGTGTGACAGTTTTTAGCTTGGTCACGCACTTGGCAGCACGGTGACAGACCCTTTCTCTTGTAAAGGATTGGCACTTTCCTCCTACTTCATTAACTGGCCGTGTGAAATGACGGCAAGTTTGGTGCTGTTAAATCAGACCGGCTTTTTATTTTAAACTGTTTTAATTAAAAACGGCTTTGAAGCAGCCCTCACGCAAATAAGCCTGTCTTCATGTTTGAATTTGGGATCGAACGTAACTCATAGAGCCTGAGGCAAGGGAGCAGAGATGTGTTTGTGATGGAAAGTAGTTAATCTTCCTGATTAACAAACAGGTTTCCCATGTTTAGAAAACCAAACACCTTTGCCTGCCTGGGCCTACTGGATCTAAAGCTTTTTGACACCAAAATGTTATCATTACGGGTGCATGGAACTGATAGAAAAGTGCACTACACATTTCAGTTTTCAATTTCTTTCTCTTTCCTCAGATATGGCAAGCTGCCTTAAACACGCTGAATCCCAACCCTACCGACAGCTGTCCTCTCTACCTGAATTATGCCACGGTGGCTGCTCTGCCTTCCAGGGTTAGCAGACACAATAGCCCCTCTGCAGCTCAGTTCATCACCCGCCTGGTTCGCAACTGTCTTCCAGGAGGCGTCAACAGATGTATTGTTGTAAGTGGCATTTGGAAAGTGCATTTGATGAAAAGCCAAGGGAGGACTATCCTTGTATTTGAGAGAATGTGATTTGTAGAGAGACCGTGGTCTGTACTTTAAAATTTTAGCAATATTTGTTAGGCTAGAGGTAATTTTTTTTCGTTCTTTTCTGACATGGTTATAGCAGTAAAAATCGTAGTAGGAACACGGTTATCTTGTTTTACAGGAAATTAAGCCAAAGTTATTGAACCAATATAACTCTTTTAGTATAGGAAGTGATACAGCTTTCCATTGTAGACAAGGGCTAGTCCATGCACAGTTTGAGTACCAGTTTAACTAAATTGGTTCTGAATTTAGTTAAACATGTCTGTTTTAACTAACTGTTAAACTTGTGTGTTAGATATGTACCTGTAAAACACATATCTACATGTTTTATTTATGATTTCTCTTTAGCAGACTTTAGCTGGATCCATATGGGATTATGGGGACGTTGTTCATTCAGGAGAAGTGTCCACACACAGAGAACCAGTATAGCAACTTCTTCCTGACTAGGATTTAAGCTATAACATTAGCACCCTGCTCACATCTTAAATGAATACAACCATCAGCTTGTCACTGACAGCGACTTCAGGATTTGTTGAAGGACATGTGCCTTGTCTACATTAGACTTTTAAAATACGTTAGTTAATGGGACCTAATCTTACACCTTGCCTGGACAAAGGCTTAGTTAACTAAGGCATCTTCTGTGAGTAGATAAACTCTGGATATTTAATTTGACAAAAATCTCTTACAGACCAGTTTGAATTTCAGGTTTGGGGTTTTTTTCCTCTGAACAGTTGTCAATAATCAGATTTTTCTCCAGGTAGACTGTATGGGCAATCTACAACATGCCTCACTTGAAAAATTAGTTTGGATACCAGTTGCAATTGTTAAGTCTCTCCCCTAGAATTAACTCTTGTACACTAAGATGGTTAAAACAGTACAGCTCCTCTAGTGTGGACATACCTGTGCCTGCATAAAGGTTCCTCATGGTCTGGCAGTAAAGCTTACTTCATTTCTATGTGGGTATATCACAGAAAATGATCTCATTAAGGGCTGGAAGGGACCTCACATATTATGAAAGGTACCAATACAAGTGTAACTGCATCAGTGCTACATGAAGCAGTTGAACCAGTCACAGTCCGTATGGAAACCATACCTACACTCTCTTCCCTTTCTCCCCATGGCACTCCCAGCTAAGATAACAGATGCCTTTACATCCAGTTCCAAACAGCTCTGTTCCAGCTCTGGCACTTGATGACCATGTGTTTTCTTGCTTGTATTTCAGATGGTCTGTGAGCGATCTGAGGTCTTTGCCTCAGCTTGTGCACTAGCCAGGGCTTTCCCACTCTTTACCCATCGATCCAGCATCTCTAGACGCACTGAGAAGAAAACAGTAACTGTGGAGTTTTTCCTGGTTGGGCAGAACAATGGGCCAATAGAAGTGGCAACACTTAAAGTAAGTTCCTAGCTTTCCCATTGATCAGCAACTTCCTTTGTTCCCTCTGTAGGGCAACCCTGGTTCTTGCAGAACTGTTGCACAGTGGTGTGAATTACCATTTGGTGTCTGAAATACCTACTGCACCAAAGATAAGTGATCCCAGACCACTTAATATAGTTTAGGCACCTCTGAGTCTGACATACCCCTGAAGATCATGTTCAGAGATCAGATACTCATTGTACAAGGCAGGATGAAAATGTGTGTCTCAACGATTTCACTTTCAAAATATTTAATGGTCAAATAATCTAATATTGCACCTAGTCAGGCAGATGAATTTATTTCCGAAAGGAAGTGGGGGGGAATTTGGCCTTAATGGGGTCCAAATTCTGTCCTTGACACTGCACATATGTATCGTTGAAGAAACTGGGAACTGCATGTTCTGGAATCAGAATTTGGCCTTTCATATTTTTATCTGATGTCATGTACCTGCTGCCTTTTATTCCCCTGGTAAAATTTGTAGCTAGAAATGAAATACTGGGGAAATAATCCAAGTCTGAAAGAGCCCAGAGTCTGTTACGCAACATGAATTTCTTTTTATAAAGTTAAATTGTAAAGTCATCTGAGTTAGTCATCTTTGAGTCGGAGAGAAACGTAGTGATGCACTTGGACCTGTGAGTCGTGGTTATTGGGGGGACATGAACTCCTTATCGACTGGGTGTTCAAAGTGTAATAGATCATTAGAATTCAAAGTTCTTCCTGAACAGTTCTTTTAAGCCTTGCTGTTACAAACATTAAGACAATCTCCTATTATGTGCTTCAAGTTTTAATATTTTAATACAGATTGAACCTAACCCAACTGAATCAAGGGCTAGGGGAGGTTGAAAGTTCCCACAGGTATGGTTTAGGCTGTAATAGGGCTGAAGAGGCACAGATTGACAAAGGAGAAACTGTCCCTGAGTGACACTCCTTCCACTTAGAAATGCTAGCATAAAAGGGGTGACTGTATATATTTCAAGTGTCCTAAGTTCAAGGCATCTCCATAGAGTTATGTTGCAGAACCCAACAATCAGCTTCTTGCCCTCAAACCAAAAAATAAGCAGTCAGTATTAAAAATGGACTCTGTCAGATAGGCAGGCCTCATGCCACTTAAGGCTTTGGGATTGAAAACCAACAGCTAGGCTAAAATTCTGCCCTGTCCTTCCCCTGAGGTCAGTGTCAATCCCACTGACTTCACTGAGGGCTAGGATTTCACCCCTTAAATTCAACCCAGACAGCTGGTGCTGATTCCAGAGCACGGATGTCACATGCTTTCCCTGGGAGGCACTGCTCACTGGGCAGACTGCCACATTCTGCACTACACCTGCACTGCCCATATCATTTTAATTTGGGGGCTGTCAGGGGTTTACCATCTTCTGAGTCTACCTTTAGTCAGGCTCTCTGAGTACCCCTTGCAGCCACTGTCAGGCACCACTTCTTTATAAGGATGAATAACCTGGCTTCTTTGACTCTGAGCACTGGCCCTGTGAGAGTTATATGCTTTCTTTTTCTCTGTGGCCCCACAAGCCAGTCTGAACTAGCTGAGTTTATCAGTCCATTAAAGGGAATCATTGCAGCATGAAGGGATTGCAGGCAAGCAGGCCTCTGTTCCAAAACAAACCAGCATTTTTAAGTCAATTGGACCATGTGGCAGGTTTCCCCAAAATCCACCTTTACTCTCTGCTTTTGTGTGTCCTCCCTCATGCTGGACTACAAGGTCATACAAATAGTTTCCTCACTGCTCGTCTTTCTATTCCAGGCCCTTTGGTTCCCAGTTATTAAAAGTTAATGTCTCATCAGTGCAGCTTCTATTGTCATCTTCCCCAAAGGCCTTCTTCCTTCAGTCATTAGCTATAACCATCTTATGGTAGACATTTCACAGCAGTTCAGTCTCAAGCTCTGTTTATCCGGGTCTGACTTCACTTAGTCAGAGGTAGAGATTAACCCCAGAGTGTTACAACATACAGAAAGAAGGGGAGACTGAGGCATGTACGTAGCACCTAAAAATCCAACATTTGCCAAAGGCCCCATTTATCACAAAAGAAAGCATTATCCATTGAAGCCATTAATTCTACCACATGTAAACACTAGTCTCCCTTCCTATGGAATAGCTAACCTCCACAGGCTTCCAGCTTAAACAGCCCATGGTTTATCTGATTCAGACAGTCTGAATCAGCTTCATGTCTCCCCCATGGCATTCATGGGCTTAAGTTGTACTGTGTGGTTACTCACTGGGACAGTGAGAAAGATCATCGAACTGCTCCAGCAAAGTACTCTGAGAAGGAATTCGGTTTCCTTAGAAATTGAAGCACCATAAAAATAAGGGACACGTAAGAAATGTATGAAAGCTGGTTGTGTGGTCTGGCGTCTCTTTGTATTGTGCAGCTGCTGCAGTTGCAGATTAAAGCGCTTCAAGGGAATCCACATCTTGTACCTTTAGATTCCACCCTTTTTCTGTACAGAAACCACACCATTTGCCTGTCTCCCCCCCACCCTGTTCTATTTCTAGTGTTTGGCGAGTGCTACGGAAGGAGTGAGGCTGGCTGCTCGGATCGTAGACACCCCTTGCAATGAGATGAACACGGATAACTTCTTGGAGGTTGGTACTTGCACCTTTCAGTAGAGCACCTTGTTTGCAAGTCTCTCTTTCTCAATGTAATAATCAAGGATAAATTTTGGCTTCTTATTAGCTAAATTGTAGGCCGTGTCAGCAGTGATGGACATTCCAAGAAGCTGTTTGAGGCTCATCTGTCTTTTGTTAAGCCAGGGAACCAATATCAGAATTGCTGTCTGAGCCCCTGGTTTGTTCTGTGATCTTGTACAGGGAGGTCAATACTTGGGACCGCCTTACAGTCCTGATCTTCATTGGATGCTCTCAGTTCATATTAATTTCTTTTTCATCTGATTTCTGCAGATGAGGCCCTCGGCCATTTTGCATTACAGCGTCCAGTCTGTGAAAAGGGGAAAACTACTCTCTTACCATGACCACATGTATCTAAAACTGGAGAGTGAAAATTGCTGTGTGTTCAAATATAGAGACCTGAAAAGCTGTTCAGAGCATGTACTTTCATCCTGTATTTCATTGTGGTCCAGTGCAGGTGACCAGCTGCCTTTCCTGCTTAAAAGCATCTGTCCCCTAGCAGAGTTTAAGAGCCAGACTCAGATGGCCTGGTGCTGTAAATCAGAGGGCTCTCCATGGAAGTCAGTGAAATTCACCATAGGAAGATCAGTGTCAAGACCACAGTCTTAAAAGCTTTGTGATTTTACTTCCGCAGAAATTTGCACGTGAGCATGTCTTTAACTATATGGAGACATAAGCACAGTGTAGTGAATATGGATTTATCTTTATCTTTTTTATGATGAACCTTAAAGGAAATCAAAAAAGTTGGCAAGGATCTTGGGATTGTTCCTACCATTATCCGTGATGAAGAGTTGAAAGAGAGAGGATTTGGAGGTATGCCTTGCTCAGAGTGCACCCTACAGCAGTGCTTCCTAAACTTTTCCTCAGCGTGACCCCATTTATGACCCCATTTCCTCAGCATGGCCCCTCACTCCCCACCTACAGCCCCCTGCTCCCTTCAGCAGCGCCGAAGCCCTGGCTGCCACCCACAGGAGGCAGCAGCTGCTATGTCCGAAGCAGAGTGCAGAGCCCAGCTTCTCCTCCCCTCTCCCCCGTGGGCACTGTCAGAGCAGAGCCTGTGTGGGGGGCGTGAAGGATGTGGGCTGCAGCCTTGGGTCTCCCCACCCTGCTGCCTTCCCCCTGGGGGCTCCACTGCCCTGTGGGCAGGACCCAGTGTGGGAGGGAGGGAGTGCCATGCTGTGCTGCTGTGGCTGCCAAGCTGAGTCGCCCCCTGCTCACCCGGCACCAGTTTAGGCACAGCTCCGCCGCCACTGCTGCTGCCGTGCCTCACCTTGGCAACCATGATGGTACGGCTCTCCCTCCCACAGTGGGTCCCACACACTGGGCTGCAGAGGTATCTCTTGCCCAGAGCTGGTCCAGTCCAGTTGCAGCCCTGCACCCTGCTGTGGGCACAGAAATCTCAGGGAGGACATTTATCACGACCCCATCTGCTAATGTTGTGACCCCATTTGGGGTTGCAGCCCGCACTTTGGGAAGCACTGCCCTACAATTTTTTGCTTATGCAAATTGGGAGCAATTTTATAGTCCTGAAATTCCCAAGGGGGTCTGAACAGGGACAGGACAATGAATCAGACATCTCCTGCTACGTTTCACCACCAAATGGAGTTTTTAATCTTTCTTTTCCAGGCATCTACGGAGTTGGCAAAGCAGCTGTGCATCCCCCTGCATTAGCAGTTCTCAGCCACACCCCAGAAGGTGCTACACAGACCATTGCATGGGTTGGCAAAGGTATTGTGTATGACACTGGAGGCCTGAGCATTAAGGGGAAGGTATGTAAAGGAGAGGAGATCTGGCATTTCACTGTAATGAGATTTAAGTGAATATAAGAGTTTCATCAGAAAAGGGATATAGAGGGTTTTTAGAGTTAAGCTCTGTCTCTCAAGGTGAAGGGCAAATTAATTTCTGGGAACATGTTGCTAAGCAGGTATTAGCTAGTCATTACTCCTAAAGTATTTTGCCTTAATCTCTGCACATAGGGTTTAATCCTGCCCAAATCAATGGAAAGATTTCCATTGGCATAAACCCATTTTATTTTTTTTTAATGAAGTAGCAGAAGAAGTGTAAAGTTCTCTAGCCCCAAGGCAAGTTCTAGTAAAAGGCAGGTGAAAATAATGTCAGGAAACTTAACAATCTTCAAAATATGAAGTTTGGCTCATCCCATATCCAAGTCACATTGTGTAAATTTCACAGCAGAAAACCACGAGCTACACATTTTAAACACTTTAGTGGCAGCGTTGCTACCTTATTCATCCTGAAAGTGCGAGGTGCAGAGCTCAGCTAATGTCTTAGAAAAGTGATTTAATTCAGTGTGGAACCTCACAGCTCAAACGGCCTTTGTGTGTGTGTGACGTGGGGTATATTGGAGATGAGTGTTCAAGAGACGAAGGTTGCATCAGAGTGTGAGCGTTAAAAGGAAATAAAACCGAATCTTGTTTTGAATCTTTCTATCCATTTTTGTTCAAATAGACTACTATGCCTGGCATGAAACGAGACTGTGGTGGAGCAGCTGCTATTTTGGGTGCCTTCAAAGCCACTGTAAAGCAAGTGAGTAAACTGTTAGTCAGTACGAGTTAGATCAGTGCTGGTGAGGAGAGGCAGTCTTGTCCAGGGTATGCTACCTGAGTTCTAATTGACTGTCAGTGGCCTTTGAGAAAATTGGGGAAGATGTTGATTAAACACTGGGAATTAATGTTTGTTACATGGCCTCAACACAGGGCTTTGCTTGAGTGCAGTCCCTAAGCAAAGATGCATTCCTGGATTGTGGCCTATATAAGTAAGTATTATCCTGAGACCTTCATTGATTTCAGTCTTTGTGCCAGCAATACACAGCACCGCTCCAGCATTGCTTTTCTTTCTGCGTGGTGGATGGGTAGTGAATTGGCTATCATGGGTGAGGGATTTTTGTAGTTCCTCTGTATTTAGCAAACAGAGAATTTTGTTACGAGTACTGGGAAAATAGACTTCATGTACCTGTCAATGTCCTGAATCCCAACCTAGTTCTCATAACATTTGGTGGGGAAACAGCAAAGCAGCAGATTATGGTCCTGACTATTGATTTGTTGCTGTGGCCAGAAGGTAAAAGGAGACCTTGCATAAAACCAAACCTTGGAGTATTGTGAACTACTCTCCAAACAAAAAAAAAAATCATGTGGTGCCAGAGAGATCTAGTTCTCACCATAAATCCAGCCTTGCTGACGAAGCAGCCCCTGCCTCCCCGCAGTGTCCAAGGTTCAAAGAACATTCACTTCTGTGGATTAATGTATAGTCTGTCAGAAAGCTGGTCCAGGAGATGGTCAGATGCCAGATTCCCATTTCCCAGCAGCTTATTATGACTCAAGCTCTGTGCCTTGGTGATAACAGCCATATTGGATGTGAAAGGGTTATAACCTGTGGAGCATTATCTGTGTAACTTGCAGCTGGAAGCAGATTTGAACAGAGTGGGGGCAGGATGTCACAAACCAAGTATGTAGCAAGGAATTCTCCTACTGTTTTCTGTCATCTGCCCCAGTGTGCCCCAGCGTGAGGTTAATTTATGGTTCCTCACTGCTGTCCATTTTTATGTTAGTTTTAATTAACTTCACTCACTCTTTGTTTAGCCCTTGGGACTTTAGAGGGTGAACTAATTCAGCAGGTCCTGGTTTCTTTAGCAGATGGGATTTATCAGAAGATTCCTAATGAACTTGACCCCTGGTAAAACTTCGCTACTGCTGAATGAAACTCCTGAGTGGGAATATAAATTCTCCTCCTTGCTTCCTCTCTCTCTAAACAGTAGGCTCCTTGTGAGTCCATACAGCTTCATTATAACAAACCCTCATGGGACTGAGACAGAAACTCATTGGAAGAGGATATTTGCTACAATAGGTTTAGTCAATTTGCTGCATCACAGCAATGCAAAATTGGTTCCTACTGTTGGGATTGTTAAGGGTGGGGGAGGCAGTTGTTATAATGAGGTGATGCTGTATTTGATGGTACTTTAGCATATATAATATAACCAAATATGTATTAAAACCAGAAGGAAGAGGGATTTGAGAAGAAAAAGAGAGAGAAGCAGGGAGCAGAAACATAGACATTATTTCCCAGCTCTCCAGAAAGTGCTGCAGGGCTCATAGCAAAATAGGAAGGTAGCAGTGGTAACCACTCTCCTTTTGGTTGTGGGCCTGCTTAAATGTGGGGAACCACTGGGCCTTCCTTCTTTTCTCAGACTGGTGATCTAGGTAGTTCAGTATCTTGTCTCTTGCATTAACTGATCTCAGAGCTTGAGGCTTGGGAGACCCTGGGACAGGCAGTTACAGAATAGGAGGGGATGTGTGAAGTGTATACACATTCTGTGTCTTAAGATTGCCTTCCTCAGCACCTTCCAGCCAATTTCTCGATAGCAGGCTTTCTAAAAGGCTGTGGAATTAGAGTGCCATCTAGGGAGAGACTACTGATATAGTTCAGGCTCTGCTCAGTGGGTCAGTGGTTTTCTTAGGTGCCTCTTCAGATGGCTCACAGCTCACCAGAGACGAGATCAACTTCTATGGTTTACGTTCTCCTCCTGTGCTAATGCTTCCCCCAAGATTCCAGTAAATGATAGGGAGAGGAGCAAATTAGGAAATGACCCCAAATTGTACTAATCGATGTTATTTGAGGTTAAATAAATGTAATGGAAAGGAATAGGAAAATAAGGATCGGAAAACAAGTCACTCCGTGAATGTGTAGCATACTGACACAAGTCTTTGTAATTATTATGTTGAAAGCATTTGTTGTCTGAGAGAGTTGGATCTTTCATTTGTGGCTATAGATGATTAAGGGGTTAGAAATGTTGGCCTAGATGTTCCCAGTCTCTGCTTTTGAGCCTGCATTAGGGTTGGTTCCACAGTTGGATGTCTTTGGTGGTATTCTGATGAAAATCCACACTGTTGTAGTTTAGACAGGAATATTCTGATTCAAGTTGTTTGTACTCAGCTGGGACCTGATCTAAAGCCCATCACAATCAACTGAAAGATACCTTTTGAATGCTGTGGGCTTTGGATCAGGTCTCTGTTGTCCTTAGTAGAGCCTGTTAAAAATGCACAAATGATTTCATTTGAAGAATAACATTACAGATGCACATGTACTGGGGAGAGACAGTGTTTCAATTCTGATATACCTCGCCAGAGAGAACAAGATTGCGTTACTGACTCGTTCAGCTGGCAAAGGTGTTTTGGCTTTCCTACCGTGCCCTGTTTCTGACACATGGCAGCTTCTAGGTATGTGCTGCTTCTGCTAGGCTTCTTACTCTCTTCCACTGAAAACTCAGAAGCTATCATTTTATTTATCCTTTAAGCTCTTTTCATAGCTCTAGGTCTCAGCTTCGGGTTAGAAGCCGCTGCTCATAGATTTACCATGTCATAAAATATGTTCTTTTTATTGCTTCCAAGTCATATTTCCTCACTGGTGTCAGTCCCAATGAACTCTTTTATGTTATATTGACTTGTATTTCTCTCCTGTTTTTGTTGCAGGGCTTTAAAGACAGTCTTCATGCTGTTTTCTGCTTGGCTGAGAATTCTGTTGGACCAAATGCAACAAGACCTGATGACATCCATGTCCTTTACTCGGGAAAGTAAGATTGCATCTATCCCTTTTACAGAATTGTTTAGGAGTGCCTTGTCTTTCTCATTAATTTAAATTGCTTCATAATCAAACCATTCAGACAAATCATGTAGGAACCCATTTACTTAGATTGAAAGTTCTTCAGAGCAAGACTAGGTTTTTGTCCTTTTTTTAAGAGCTTGAGTCAGTGGAGTCCTTTTCCATGGCAAGGCTTTTAGGAACTAATGCAGTACAAATAACAAACACCATTAATATAAATACCTGGTATAGTCATTCTCAGCTGATGTTTCTTTGCGATTCTCACAGTTTTGACTGAAAACAGGGACATTTCCTCTCAAGGCTTAAAAGTATTTTATCTTATTTGTAGGGTGGTAGGGGGGAGGGCAGAATGGACTGACAAGCTTCACAAGCATCTGAGAAATTAGATGGTTTATCTGAGTAGAAAGTCAAATGTGAAAAGTTCTGCCTTCTTCCTAGAACTGTGGAAATCAACAACACTGATGCAGAGGGCAGACTGGTGTTGGCTGATGGAGTAGCCTATGCATGCAAGGACCTTGGAGCTGATATCATCCTAGATATGGCCACTCTCACTGGAGCTCAGGTAGTTGTGCACCAAACAGCAGGGCTTGTGGAAGAACAACTTTCTGATAGTCTGTGTAGCATGAGAGCCTATATGCTATCCCTGCAGGTTAGCAGGGGAATACTTTCAGTTACAATCACAGGTCTTCACAAAGTGAACTAAAGACACAATTCAGTTAGCTTTAGCAATGGTAGGTTGTGGCCCAGTACATAGGCCAGCCACTGAAGGATATACAGTGTACTTCTCCAGCATGTACCATTATAGCTCCATTACTCAAGCAAGATGCCCATGCTCTTGGGCTTCATATATCATATACAATTGACTCGGAAGTGATGTATCTTCAGATGCATTTGAAACTGATATATATAGTCAAGTAATATTCATAGTTTGCAATTTTGTAGCTTTATCCCTAGATGACCTACAACCCATAATTAAAACACTGTTTTCAGTTTGCCAAGTCTGGTTCCATTCCTAGTGAAGCCTCAGCAAAGAGCAACTTTAAAGGTGGTGAAGATGATGGCATCTATAATTCAGCCTAGGGAACTTGAACTTGAGCCTTTTTCCTAGGCCTGAGAGGATTTTTAAATGATTGAAATGCTGAGGTATTAGTAGTATTGTGAGTATTAGACTTGCCTTTCCATAAGATGAACGGGAGAACTTAGTGCAACCATAATAGGCTGAGCACTGATACACAAATATTTTTTAGCCACTGCAAGAGCTGAAAGACTGTGCTAGATAGATTTGTAGACCAGGCCTTCTGCAGGTGTAAATCAGCCAGGCCTCTCTGGAGTTAATGGAGGTGTACTCATTTCCACTAACAGAAGGCATAGGTGAGGGTCTACAGGTAGATACTTGGCCATGTCCTGATTTACACAGGTTGTTATGTCATTGAGAGTGCACGTAACCCACTGTATATCATATTAATACAAGAGAAAAAAATCATACTGGAGTATCCTCTTTTGCATATCATTATTTCATAAAAGATGATAGGGGTGGGCAGCTGATCCTGTGATCACACCTCATTAGCTGGGGAGTTTTAATTTATAGAAGAGAAACAAAATGGGTTTCCAGGAGCCTCTTTGCCCAAATCAATGTAGAAGAGCCCTTCTAAAAATTTCCTGCGTTTGTCAGCCAGTTACCTGTTTGGAGAACTCTGATACTCGGTGGCTTCCAAGCCCTGGATTAAATCCAGGACCTAATAGCAGACATCAGGGGAATGAATCTTTCCAGTAGATGTGGTTCCAGCTTTCAAAATGTGACCACATTACTTGTGACTGACCCAAATAGCGGGGTGGTTGTATGCATGAGAGAGCATTCATGGCTGGGTTAACCAATAAACAAAGAAAAAAGGAAATTGCATGGTTATCGATAGCGGGGCCTGGCCATGCAACCTAGTAAGTATGAAGGAGCGAGCAAAAGATTGGAGACTGAACTATATTATTGGTACTGGATCGTGTGTTATTCCCCACTAGGGAATTGCTACAGGGAAATACCATGCTGCCATCCTTACCAACAGTGAAGAATGGGAAAGGGCATGTGTTAAAGCTGGCAGGAACTGTGGAGACCTGGTCCATCCTCTTGTGTACTGCCCTGAGCTCCATTTTAGTGAATTTACCTCTGCTGTAGCCGACATGAAGAACTCTGTGGCGGTAGGCTTATTTATGTGTTATTTTATTTTAGTTCCTTATGTAATAAGCATTTTTCTGGGCCTGACTCTGCATGGATAAAGGCTTCTCAGATGTGCTTTGACCCTTTAGATGCATGGCTAAAGGCAAGGCAGGAAACTTGCCTAATACGGACTTGCAAACAGCTCCTCTTCTCCAGCTATAGTGACTGTACTGACTACACAGTGCATCCTATTTCACAAGGGCCAAAGTGAGATAGGGTTAGAAGTGGCCTAACAAGGTTTTCTGCATTACATTTTTGGCTGTCTCCCCCTCCCAGGCATGAGTACTCTGCTGTCATTCTTCACAGTGAGGTCTGGCTTTGTGAATTGTTTTCCATGGTGCTCAGTAATGTGAAGTCATTGTTATGAGTTGTTCTTGGGTGAAACAGTTCATTCTTAAAAACAGTATCTTACAAAATTAAATCTTTACTCTTTGTGCAGGACAGGGATAATACTCCAAGCTCCTGTGCTGGACTTTTTATTGCTTCTCACATTGGCTTTGATTGGCCTGGAATATGGGTCCATATAGACATTGCTGCACCTGTTCATGCGGTAAGTGTGCTTATTTGTCCTCCAAGGTGCTTGCTTCTAAGGAGAAAAACCTCTCGTCTGAAGATATCCTGATTGCAGCTCCCGACTGCAGTGTAGGGCTAAGCCATAGAGTGGAGAGAGGAGCTGGGTATTCAGATGTAGATAATTTTCAAGGATGAGCTTGTTCCTTTGTTGAAGATCATTCTAAGGGCATCCCTGCTTTATGCGTTTTTGTTATTGGAGACTAAACTGGGGTTTCTGTGTTTGCAGTATCCATACTTCTAGATTCCTGCACTTTAAAATACCACTGGGGTTCTCTGTTTTCTCCTTTGTGCGTGGGATTTTCTGTTATCAGAGCCACCAGAAATACCTGTATGCAAGAATACTGCTTGCTTTTCCAGAGTTCTCTCGCCAAATGCTGCATATTACAATCTGAACTGCATCAAGGATGAGATTTTTTTTCAAAAACAGCTCAGAGTTAGGCTCTCAAATCCCCTGTATCTTAGTAAGAGTTGAACATCTAACTCCACTAAGTGCTTTTGAAAATCCCACCCCAAGGTTTCTTGGACTGACTTGCAGTTGAGCATTCTTTCTGCCACTTGTAATCTGCTTGAAAGAGTGCAGATGAGCCTGGTACAAAAGTGATATTAAAATCTGAAGTGCAACAACTTGTTTCTAGGGGGAACGCGCTACCGGCTATGGAGTGGCCTTGCTGCTGTCTCTGTTTGGTGGGGCATCTGAAGACCCTCTGCTGAACATGGTGTCTCCCTTGGGATGCAATGGAGACTCTCCAAACGAAGACATGGAGAGAGATTCTAAAAGGCGACGCCTGGTGTAATGCTCCCTAAGGCCTCAGTGACGGGGTGCACATGTTACCTCACTTTGCACTGATTCATTCTGAAGCAATGAAAATATTACACATCAGAAATTGCCATTTTTTTACTGTCTTGATGAGATTTATTACTCATTTCTGAGAAAGCAGCCTATTCCTTTTGTTTTTTAAATTATTGGTGCACACAGTAACTGAACAGTACTGACCCAGCCAGCTCCAGGCTCCACTAGCTTTATCCAGGAATAGAGGAGTATCCTCCTCAGCACCTCACAAAACTTTACTGAGTGCATTAATGCATGAGAACCTCCTCAGAGTGTGAAGAAGCAGCTGAAGCTCTTACTTACAAAACCTTCTGATTTATTTACCTGAGGTTTTGTGTGTCAGATGTTCTTGCAGGCTCCACTGCTTCTCAGAACACAAGATGAGGAAGAAGAAACCACTGTAGGTTTGACCTAGTCAGCTGCAACAGCTTAGCAGCAGAAAGTTTAATGACTGAATACCTTCTATTTCAGTAAGGTGCCCTTCCTGCATGTTTAAATGTTAAAAATCTACAAAAAAAGCAGGCCAGAACATCTCTTCATATAGGTCTCTCGCTTTCAGATAACAGAACATGTTAATGTTAAACAAAAAATACTTGGATTTTATTGAATGAAATAGGTTTACAGAGTAATGTGGCTGACTGCCACTTAATAAATTAATTATTAAAGCAGCTTGCATATCCCAGCCTGGATTTTCATGGCGTTATTTGCATTTCTGAAAATACTGGGGACAGGAAAGCAAGAGCATGACTGTGCATTGAATATTCCCAAGCCCAGCTTTAATACAGCCCAGAAGCAGGCACCAAAGGTCTTGGTGGTTTTGCAGTGTGAGGGGCACTTCCACTCTTAAGAAGAAAGGACCGCATTTATTTCACTGAGTGCATGCAGCAGAGATCAGGTTGTGCTAGCTACTGTACAAACACATACTAAGAGGCAGTCCCTACCTTCAGTAACTCATGGATAAAGGCTGAAACTGGAAAGAGAGGCATGAGAAGGGAAATGACTTGCCCACCTTACATAGTTGGCAGTAGAAATATCAGGTCTAACTGGACCTACGGTGTCTCTTCGGAGCTGCTTTTTTTTGGGCTGTCTGAAGATTTTTATCTGCATGGTGGCCAGAAACTGGGCTAACCTATTGGCGTGAGTGAATAGAGGTTGAACCCTTGGTAAAATTAATGGTAGGCTTTCTGATTACATTCAGGCCAGTGATCTCAAGTTTATACTGTTCGCTGAAGGAGAATGAGGAAGAACCTGATATGGAAATATGCTGTGGGAGAGAAGACACTTGCAGCTCCCTTTTGTGAATGTTATTTTAACCTTATTTGCTTCTCAAGCAATGTATATTTGCCTCCTAAGCCTGATCTTCACAAAGGTATTGGCCTCTTCATTGTCAGTTTAATTCCTTGGTCCACTTAATCATGGTTTCTGGAGATCTGTACAAAAAGATGAGTTTGGCAAAGAGTTGTTCTTCTAGCTCCAGTTCCCCAATCTCCCGCACCAGGAAAATGTCTCTGCAGAGTTTCAGGATGCGGTCCACATTGGGCAGCTCTTCAAACATTATGGAACGGGAGATGCCGCAAAAGAACTCACGAATAAACTTCCCAATGACAAAGACAACAGACATGTACAGGCCAACGACACTGAGAAAAAGAGGAGAGACTGTGAAAATCCTTTCCCTTCCTCCTAGTAAGAATCATTCCGCACTATTCAACTGGACTACATGCTGTCATTCTATGCCCCAAATGCCAGCTGATCTCAGTGAGAGTGAATAACTCCCAGCTATCCCAGCAAAATAAAACAACCCACCACATAGAAAGCAAAGGGATGTGCTTTTTGAGTACAGCCTTGCCCTTACCCATATCCTTCCAGGAATCCCAGGCTAGCAGGACTGACTTTGTCATTAAAGATGATGAGCTCCATATTCTTGCTGCAAGCATTGTTAAGACAGGTTGGGCTCTGCTCTTGAATAATCCACCACTCAGTCGCTTTGCTTGAAGACAAATTACTGGGCAGCTGGTGTAGTTTTATGGTTACGTTTCGGAAGAAAGCCATTTTCTCTACATCTTTTGGCTTATGAGAATGAACTGTTTCACAAATGCAAAGGTAAATGAGGAGCTTTTTCATTTTATGTCTAACACCTCTCACCACTTTCTTGTCTCATACATAAGGGCTCTTTC